TTTGTTTTTTTGTGGGTGTGTGTGTGTCCGCTTTTGCAAAATGGCAAGAACTTTGGAACCTGTAGAGAATTTTTAAAGTATTTATCCTGCTGCTGCTGGGCTCAGCGATTGAGCATCCACCCAGGCACCAGGATGCCACCTGTTCGATTCCCGTTCAGGGCACGTGCCTGGTGCGATTTCTGGCGAAGCACGAATTTTAGGGGGATCTAGGCAGGCTTAGGGAAATTTTTTTAAGAATTGGGGTCCATGGAAAAAAAACACAGAGAGAAGGTACATTTCCACCACACAAGGAAGCCAGGTGCAGTCACATCTCCATAAGACAAGGAGGCGGCAACAGGTCTATTTCCATAAGACAAGGGAACTGGGAGTAGGCCGAGTCTATATTTACAAAATAAAGAGAAGGAAGCTCTTCATCCAGAAGGAGAGGAAAGCCCAAAGGGAATAGGAAAACAATAAGGAAGGGGGGAGGGGAGAACCTCACATGTCCCATGTGATGTTCAACCTTTGAGCCCAGGAGTTACTATAGTAACCAGTCAATAGTGACCAATCAGAGGGGATATCGGGGCACCAGCATCTGCAGCCTTTAAAAGCCATGGAAACAGGACTTCAGTGGGACCCTTTCCCCCTCCCCACGTGGGCGTCTGTCCTTGTCCTTCAAAAATTCTCCATTTTTGCTCTACCACTTTCTGTCCAAGGATTCATTCTTTGATTCCCTCGGACGAAGAATCCGAGTTCCAGTCCAAAAATTCGGTATCACTGGGTTGCGGGCTCGATCCCCAGTAGGGGGTGTGCAGGGGGCAGCTGATGGATGATGTTCCTCTCTCATCCATGTTTCTATCTCTGTCCCTCTTCCTTCCTCTCTCTAAAAATCAATAAAAACATTTTTTAAAAATGTCCTTCCTTCCTCCCCCCCTCCCCCCTCCCTCTCTCCTTCCCTTCCTTCCTCAGAGGAAGGGAGAGGGAGAGAGTCACACATCAGCTGCCTTCTGCACACCCCTTACTGGCGATGGAGCTCTGAAACCCCGGCATCTGCCCAGACCGAGCCAGCAACCATTTGGTGCAGGGGACGTTGCCCAACCAACCGAGCCACACCGGCCAGGCAGAATTTTTTTTTTTTAATTTTTATTGGTTTCAGAGAGAAAGGGAAAAGGAGAGAGATAGAAACATCCATGATGA